ACCAGCTGATTAGGATCCTTAGGCTTTGACACGTGGCACGCTTTATGACAAACTTCTGTGTATAGGGACGCTGGACCCGATTTCCAGCAGGTGTTGCTCCCCACTAATCGATGGAGCCTCACCGGGCGTGCTAGCGGTGTCTGCTCCTATCAACACCTCTAGCATCCAATCGGGCTGTTTTTTCAACCAAAAAAAAAAAAAAAAGCCAAACAGTCGGATCAACATCTTCGAACAACATTGATTTCCTCCTCCAAAAAGCCTCCAAGGTTTTATATCTATAATCAGCAGGCGAAGCCCCTGATCAGGTTCTACATTCTGATATGTACGTCATGCAGATCTTTTTTTTCCTTCTTTTCTTTCTTTTTTTTGTACAAAAAACACAAGCTCCCTGCCTTGAACCGCCCCACATCTTCCTCCATCCCACCACGGTCGTCCAGGATCACCAAAATTACATGCCCAGTTGGGCAATGTACACGATAACCGAGGATCCGCAGTGTGATAAAAAGGACTGAATGCACAATGCTGTGCAAGTGAAATCTCAACAAGCAGTGTACATTCTGATACATACAAAATGCGCAGGGAAGACTTAGATACAAGTCCTGACCTGACCGGGACTGACCTCAATCTTGTAGTTTAAGACAGCGCAGCAGAATGCTACAATACCAATGACTAGCCCAATCAATGTTGCAACACACACCAAACATGCATCATCCTCATCACAAGGTGTGAAGGGACCTGGCGCTATACACAGGAAGAAGGCGCCAGGCCCAGATCATGCACAGACGAAGAGGGGGGGAACATACGAAGAAGAGGGGGAGAGATGTGAGTGTCGTCAAGACCAAGTCCTTGTTACAAGTCCCAAATAATCCCTCATCAAAATGTTTGAAGCCCAAATGTCGAGTCTGGATCCAAATGTCACCAAGCTCTCTCTGTCTCTCGTAGTCTGCTGACGCAGTGAAGTCAGGTAGCGAGAGTGTGAGAGGGAGATGGTGGACTGAGAAGAGGAAGAAGAAGAACTCTCTCTCTCTCATATGCCAGGTACTAACCTGTGAAGATGGTGCTGTGCTCCAGGTACCTCGAAGGCGAAGCTGGAGCTATGGCGCTGCAGGTAAGTATCCCTGGCCTCCGCCCAATCTCTCTCTCTCTCTAGTACAACTCTAGCTCCTATGGCGCCCAGCGCTGAAGACTACTGCTAACGCAACTAGCGCCCAGCGCTGAAGACTACTGCTAACGCTACTAGCGCCCAGCGCTGAAGACTACTGCTAGCGCTACAACTACTCCCCTGCAGCGCTCCTCCAGAGTGCTGCTGCCTAATCCTGAAGACTACCTTCTGCCTCCTGAACTGCAAGTGAAGTGCCTGGGAAGTACCTAGGAACTACCTGCCAGCCTGCAGGGCGGGCCAGTCCTATATAGTGCTGGCCCGTCCAGGAGGCTGCTCTTACCAATGCCAAAACGTGCCAGACCCTGGCGTTGAAGCTCAACCAGGGGTTGTCTTGAAACAGGCCCGAAATGGCCTGTGCTAAAACCCTGGTTTGTTGCCTGAGTTTCAGGGCGGGTCGGACTGATGAGGGCCTGAAAATGGCCCTCAGTCTGAAAACCACAGGGCCGGAAAGGCCCTGATTTAGCCTGAAACGACACAGGGCCTGTAGGCCCTTGTTTTCAGGCTTTCAGACTGAAATGACACAGGGCCCTGATTTAGCCTGAAACGGCAGGCTTTCAGGCTGAAACGACACGGGGTGGCAAGGGTGGGATGGGGGTGGGGGGGGCGGAGGGAGGGAGGGAGGGAGGGGGAAAACGGCTTGCAAAAAGTGTTTTTCGGGGGCGGATTGATCAATGCTGCCTTTTTCTTTTCTGTTGCGAAACATGCACAGCTGCCCAAGACATTCATCACAGGGGAGCCAGGCAAGGCTTTGCGACTTAGGGCAAGACTCCACTAGCAAAGAGGATCGGATTTAAGAAAAGACAAGTGGATGAAGGACGATGACAAAAACATTTTACGAAACACCCCTGCCATCAGTTGGACTTGCCCCTACCAGACACATCCGCCTGACAGGGGCATTACACAAACATGTCAGCCCAAAAGGCCATTCCACTGTGCCCGTATCTTTTAGGAACATTTTGACATATATCTCAACTTATGGGAGTATTTGGAAACCCCCATCAAAAAAGGAAACTCTCTCTCTCTCTCTCTCTCTCTCTCTCTCTCTCTCTCTCTCTCTCTCTCNTCTCTCTCTCTCTCTCTCTCTCTCTCTCTCTCTCTCTCTCTCTCTCTCTCTCTCTCTCTCACACACACACACACACACACACACACACACCTGTAGTAGTATATATTTCGATGTTCTAGCAGAACATTCGTTCGATTTTGCTCATTCTATCGCTGGAAGCAGCGTGAGGCCAGCCGCAGGGTTGGAGACTTACCTGTTGGCCGTTGCGTTGCTCAACCTATCAATGAAAATCTCTCTCTCTCTCTCTCTCTCTCTCTCTCTCTCTCTCTCTCTCTCTCTCTCTCTCTCTCTCTCTCTCTGATCCAAGGCTAGGCGGAACTCAGACTAGCCAGAGCGACTTATATCCCTACCCTAGAGCTAAGCCATGTGTGAGTAGACACCATCATAAACTCCCCCCCAGCCCAATATCGTAGTTGTGTGTATGTGTGTGCCCGGAGGCTATGTATGTTTGTACGAGCCCATAGGGCTATGCTTTTTGTGTCTGCCCGAAGGCCGGATATGTGCAGTACTATGTGCAGGGAACTATGCATTCGTTTCAAGAGATGACAGGCCCGGCTGAACAAGAACCCCCCCCCAAAGTCCCGAGCCAGACTCGAACCCGTGATATATGACATGTGACCTGAAGACTCGACCATTTGAGCAACAATCGCAAACAGCCCCTGTGTGTGATATGCCAGACTGGGGAGATCAACAGAACAACCACGAGCAACAGCCCACCAGCAACCCACGCAGTATCAAGACCCGACATACAACACCATGGACAATCCTTGGGTGGTGAGCAGGCAGTGTCTGCATAAGCTTACCCTGTGTCAGCCCAAGGAGGAGTGTGTCCAGCCGTGCGTCATTCTACCGCGCTGCCGGTGTCCATGCACAAGGCTGCATTCGAGTTTTAAAGCCGCAGCCTCTGACCACAATTCGCATTTCCAACCAGTGCTCTAAACATTGAGCTACATCAACTGGACATCCCCATGTGCCTTTACGGCCCACTTGCACATTATAAATAAAAGGGTAATTTTATATTTTGTCTATTCTCTCAATGGTGCTCATTCATATGCGTTTACTAGTACTACACAAGGAGAGGGAGTAGACACAGGGAGGAGGAAAAACTGAAGTGAGAGAGAGAGAGAGAGAGAGAGAGAGAGAGAGAGAGAGAGAGAGAGAGAGAGAGAGAGAGAGTGTGTGTTTTCAATAGATTCTCTATACAGACCGTTGGAGCAGACGACTGTAGAATGACACGAGACGTCAATCAGTGTTCGGGTTGCAGGATGAGTAGCTGTTGTTTATGGTGGCTGTTGCCTATGGTAGGTGACCACTCCTGCAGCACCGATTCGGGTGCAGACTGTGGAAGCATCGCATCCAATTCTCGCAGTTGCAGTTGCTGCACCGAATGGCACGACGCAGACATATCGCAGGCAACACGGCTCCCACAGGCAAGGAACACAGAGGCACGCCGGCCACAATTTTAGAGGCATTGCTGTTCGAGCCCGTCTACAAATTGGACATGACATGTCAGGGTGCCAGACGTGAGTGCAATATTGACTGTCATCAAACCTATGAAAGCATAATCCTCATGACACAAGGCATGCAGCCCACATGCCGGCCAAATCTCAGGTGGATCATCACAGAACGGCATTGAGCAAGTGTTTTGGGTTTCCGCTGCATTGATTCCTTCTCTATGGACTGACGGCGACGACTGTGGCAAGAGGGGGTCATCCAAAACAAGGGTGCCTAGCTGCTGCAGAATTTGTTCCACACCAGTTCGTCCTGGTGGTGTTAGCCCTTCAACACAGAGCTCTATAAGCAGCTCATGTGGTTCTCTATTTTCCTGCTCAGGCTGTCGAGTTTGCTGTTCGTCGGGCAAGAAAGGAGATCCGACAGCGTTTGCAGTAATTGTATGCCCAACTCTGTGCGTGTGTGTTTGTGTGTGTCCCCGATTCATTCCGATTTTCCTCATTCTATCAACGGAAGTAGCCCCTCTCTCTCTCTCTCTCTCTCTCTCTCTCTCTCTCTCTCTCTCTCTCTCTCTCTCTCTCTCTCTCTCTCTCTCTCTCTCTCTCNTCTCTCTCTCTCTCTCTCTCTCTCTCTCTCTCTCACACACACACACACACACACACACACACACACACACACACACACACACACACACGTGTGTACGATTCATTCCATTTTGTTCATCCTGTCGATGGAAGTAGCGTGAGGTCAGTCGCGGGGCTGGAGATTTACCTGTTGGCCGGTGCATTGCTCTCTCTTTCTCTCTTTCTCTCTCTCTCTCTCTCTCTCTCTCTCTCTCTCTCTCTCTCTCTCTCTCTAATGAAACCGTGCGATGAACCGTGCGCAAACAAAGCGTAGCGCTTTGCTCCTGGCCCCATGCGGACAGCTCACTTGGGCCGCTTTGCATGACTGCCGACCGGGGCTTGCGTTGCGCCTTCTGCCAACGATTTTTGCCCCTGGCCCCATCCGGACACCTCACTCGGGCCGCTTTGCAGGACTGCCAGGCAGCACCGATTTTCCCTGGGCCCATTGGGAAGCATCACGTCGGGCCCTTTGCAGTTTTTAATAGTATAGATAGATAGAGGAAGAGAAGAGATAGTACAGAGATAGAGATAGAGAAGAGATACAGATAGAGAAAAAAGGAATAGATGACTGGATCTTGATGTGTTTGTGGCAAGGTGCAGAATATCACAACCGATCTGTTTTTCTGCATTGCAGATTAAAACCCATCCAGATTCAGATGCTTGATTCAATCTTTTTTGCTAGTGTGATCTGGACAACAAGTGATCAAAAGGGCAACGGATCATTCACATAACAAAAAACAAAAAAAAAGAGAAGGGCAAACGGGCAAGAAAAGAACAACTAAGCGTTTCCTTTGTATGTTACGAAAAATAACTTATCCAGCCTAATAACTTCCAACTTCCACGAACTCTCTGAACGGACCATGACCCAATCAATGCACCTCCGATCGACCACTGAACAACAGCACAGGTGTCAACATTTTACCACTACAGCACCAGCAAGAGCAACTCACGAGACTTTCTTGCACTTCCCTTCTCCCTGCCAAGATCTGTGAGATAAACATTGCAAACATATCTGCTGCGCTATCTGAGGACCATGGCTCAGATACAGATGGCCGCTTGTCGGGATACACAAGAGCTTATACACAAAAAGGCTGCGTTTAACACTGTGCACCATCTTATAGAAATTGACATGACAGAACCTAGGTACCTATTATCTACCCCAGTCACGCAACACCAATGGACACCCTCAAACATGATACACAAAGCATCTCCCATTCTCACGACATCCGCATTGGCAAACCCCCTAGCCTTCTGAAATCTACATAATTGAAACACTTTGCACCTCCAGCGTCCCCGTTCCACCCGCCCCCCCCCGCTCTCTCTCTCTCTCTCTCTCTCTCTCTCTCTCTCTCTCTCTCTCTCTCCCCACCAGGTGCTCCGCTAAGCAGTCCTACAAATCCGGCACTACGATGTCTCGCGTACCTTTCGCTAACGACATGAAAGGGAACTGTTTTTCAACTGACGGCTTGCATTCGCAAACTTATAACTTAACTACAATGGAGCACATAACGAGTCACTAGACTTGCTAAAGCCTCTTCAGACCTCTTCTTTTATCATTTCTCCGTCTATCTGCCAATTTTGCAGTCGGTTCCCCACCTTTGGATTTCTTTGCACTAGGAGATGCAACCAAAGCCACAGAGGCACCTTCAACGCCGAAGCCCATAGCCACTGCAGAAAGATGCTGCTGAGACCCATCAGTGCCATCCGCTTTCGCAATCGGCAATGCCAAGGGCGCCTGTGGATGAGCCACTGCATTACTCTCCGCGGAGGTTGGTAAGAGGGAGGGTGTCAAGGGAGCAGCGGCGACTGCCATAGCTGCAGGAGCACTGAGGGCCTCAGCCACTGTTATCTTGTTCCTAGCCTTGGACGGCTTCATTGCATGAATGCTGGTCATCAGCCTCGCGTGCTTCGCATATCCCACATAGTCTTCCATCAGCATCTTCCCTGCTTCCTCATTGAGCGCCGATTCTGGGAATGGCTCGATCAACAGACAGCGAACAACCTGTATGTAGCACAGCACCAAACCAACAAATTTCAGGATAAATGGTAACCGAGGAAGCTTTCTTCCAAGAGAAAAAAAAAAGGGTCTTCACCCCCGACTAACAAGAGGGAAAGGAATCATATGGGGTTAGACCCTAATCTTCTATAATAATGCAGGTTGATCAATTCGTATGATTGAAAAAAAAAGAAACCAACCATGGGGCTCAAAGCGTAATGCAGGTAAGTCGTCCTTCAAATCTGGGAAAAGGAGAGCCCACATTTGCCCGCTTACACGCATAACGTTACATTTCTAGTCATTCTTAACGGATGTCAAAGAATGGCGTGAGCGAGAGCCGAGAGGAGTGTGAAAGAGGGGTGAATTTCCTGACATGAACATGGACATTCCCTTTCATTTTCGTCTCTAAGGGAAAAAAAAAAGAAGAAAAAAAGGCATCGAATGGCAGGCCACCATCCCCAGATGGATAAGACAATCCCCAGGGATCGAAGGCCTCCAGAGACGAAAGCCTCGGATCTGCCTGTGGGGATCTGAACAGGTCCAGAGGCCCCCAGCAAACAATGGGAACAGTGACGGCAAGGTAGGAACCACATGCACTGATTGCTCTCCTGTCTCTATGAGGGAGACTGGCAAAAGGCAAAAAGGAAAGTACAGTCCTTTGGGACATCCGTTAAAATTGGAACGATACAGAGAAAGAGAAGATTAGCTTGGCCCATGCGCAAGGATGACACGCATAAATCGAGAACTGGTCCCAAAAAAAGAAAAAAAAAAAAGGAGAACAGTTTTTTTTAGGATTCAATACAGGGCTGCCAAACAAAAAAAGGTTACTTGCTGGTTTGGCCTTGCAAAGTGGGGTCGCCCTTTTTTTTTAGGGTGCCACTCTGGTCGTTTACGTCGTTGACCTCCTCAGGATCCTCCGGATGAGATTGACACTCATCTGCCAGAAGATAAATTCGCAAGGAGCCCTTTTTTAAGGGCATGCAGTCAGCTGGCCCTTGTTGGTAACAGGTTCAACCCGAGAAAGGGCAGACCGTGGCTGGGACATGGAAAAACAATGGCGGTACCAGTTTCTCTACCGCGAAGCGCAGATCGTTGTTTGGAATCTCGTTACTTCCCTGCTGGATTTTTCTAGACCCAAAATCACGAGATTTAATGACGTTATTTTTCGCAAGGCGGCCCATTAACCATATGTCATTTTTTTTTCTACCTTGGCATCCGCAGAGGCATCCATAGGGCGTCTTTAATTATTGCATCTGAACTTTTTTTCCCAGCTGCGAGGAATGAGCCCTTGCAGGGCCCTTATCAGGCATGCACACGTTCTGGGCAGAGGCCCTCAGCAAGCCCCATGCCCGCCCTAAGTGAAGGCGGGCCTGAATATTCACCAGAGGCCAAAATTCGACATTTTCCATATGTGGGTACTCAGGCAGTTGCAGGACGCCAGTTGGTTGAGAGGAAGCATGAGCCTCCCCGTGCTGCACCGTACAGTTGAGCCCAGGCCGTGGTAGTGCGCCTGGGCACACACACACACACACACACACACACACACACACACACACACACAATGCAAGGCAGGTACATCACGAATTGGCTACGGGCCTATAAAAAAGCAGCATTGTCGACGTACATAGCCCGGATCCTGTGCAAATGCAGAAACCGCCCAAGTCTAGAAATACCGGCCGTGCCCGACTGTAAAGGGCCCAGGCACAGGCACTGGGGCCTGACCGGAAGCTACAGGAAGCTTCCCAGCCAGGCCACACTCGCAGCCAGACAGAGGCTGCCACTTCCATATAGGGAAGGAGGCGGCCAGGGGCGGGCATGATGACCCACGCAGGCAAATGAGGTCATGCTGCTGCGTTGCTGCGCGAGAGCCTGCGTGCTGCGTTAGTGGCCAGGGCGCATGCGGGCGCTTGAGAGGAGAGAGGGGCGCTGCTGGGGAGCGCGAGCAGCCATAGCCGGGCTGCAGGGCGCAAGGGGGTAAGAGGGCGATCGGTGGTCTTCAGGAAGGAGGCGAGTGTGGGTGGACATGGAAGTGATGAGGGGAGACGAGATACGTACCTGGTGCATGAGGGAAATCGTCTATGGTGTTGACGTCATGTGCATTCGCCTTCAAAGTCGAAGTGAGCCTGTTGCGTGAATGCGAATGTAGTAGGATAGGCGAGCAGTGTAGGCTGGGCACTGGGCGCCAGACAGAGAGGAGCGACATTGGATCCTGTGTTAGTGTGGCCTGAGGGCTTGAACATCTGCCCATTGGATCCTGTGTTAGTGTGGCCTGAGGGCTTGAACATTGCTCTTATTTGGATGGAATCTCGGTGCATTTGTGCTCTCTGCTTGTACATGACTACTTGGACATCTGTTTGATTTCGCAACTTGGCTTTCTGTATATCGTTCTCACTCGTATTCCTTGCACGACTGATCTTCAAATTTTCATTGCATCTGGTTTCTACTGCCCCGCTATGCTGCAACAAGCCACCATAGTCAGATGGCTGTTAGTTGTCAACGGTGAGGGTTCAATTAACTACTTCCCCACGCGCGTTATTTCTTATTTACAAGTTCACCGAGAATGAGTCGAGTCAGTTCTCATATATGAATCATCCTTCCGCCTTAAATGTCAAATAAGAGAGGCCTCTGCTTCCCGTTGCACCTTTGGCTCCACTCTGGTGATAGATGGGACGCGAAGCATCTGCTGGAATACAAATGCGGGTGCTGCCTCCAGCAAGCAGTCTCGGAGTTCGAGCGCCCACTTCGTTCGCTGGCCTTGAGTGTGCAACGGACTAACTCAAGTCCGTCTGCTGATTCACCTAGTTAGGTACTACTAGCCCTCTGTCCCATTCGACCTGAATGGTTCACCAGTTCCACCAAATGCTCTCATCCCAAAATGGGATTCCAACTGTCAGGTTGGGTCTTCGTAAGCAGCCTGGTGAACAAGAGGAGGGTCTCAGGTCTGCCCCCATTCACTGGGGCTCCTGCTACTGGTACAGAGCAACACTTGCCGGCAACACAGGCCGGCATTCGACACATGCACATGATGGCCAAACTCGCGAGAGACAAATGGCAGACCCTAATCACCGCCCAAAGGTAACGACCGACTCCAAGAGAAGAAAAATAGAGTTCAGACTGTTCAATGGGCAGGATTGGACATAGCCAGATCGAGTTTTCATAAGGTAGCTGCCATTTGAAAGTCAACTAGGGCTAAAAGCAGAAGGCATACTAGGATCTAGGAAGCATTGCGCTCGGCGGAAGCGCCCAGTAATACCACCGACTTTATCGCACTCTTCGAATGTCAGTGCCTGCCCCCTTCCTTTGTTGCAACCCTGGCCATGCACCCTACGGGGGCAAGTAAGGTCCCACTTGCGCGGATTAAGAGATACGGGCAGTAGATAACGAACATCAAACAGAAGTTCAACCTCGGCTTGACTTAGTTGGCTGGTCAAGCCCCTCTGCATGGGTTGCACAGGGCTTTAGCTGAGCCCTGGCCCAATGCGTCAACGCAGGATTGACTGGAACTTGTGACTCTTTTACGCTGCATTTTTGTTAAGGGAACGCTGGACCCGTTTTCCAGCCGGTGCTGCTCCCCACCAATAGACTGCAGCCATCTGTGGCGGGGTACCGCAGGGAACTGCTCTTATCAACTCCTGCAATATACCCCCCGGGGTGTTCCAAAAAAAATAAAAAAATATATCGGTCTCTTTGTCGGTGGGATCGGAACCTCGGCCCTGGGTTCCTCCAAAGCCATTCTCGGAGGACAATTGTGAGAATGCTTCCCATTGTTTCCACTTTTCCCCTGTGTGCGTTACCGTCTCGTGGCAAGCTTCCCATCGTTTCCTATCTCCAGTTAAATTGCCTGTTCACCTCTGGCTTTCATGAACCTCCTCCAGGGACAGTACCTTCTGGTTCACATCCCCCAAAGGACGACCTCCGGGCTCGCCGAGAAAGGATCTTTCTATTCCTCCCCGGTGTGTCTGAGGAGGATGCGTCTCCACTGCCGCCTGCATTCAATCTATCTCTATGCTTTCCCACTCACAGATCTCTGCAGCTAAACTGAGGGTTTCTTGAGGGCGACTAATGAGCAGGCCCCACTAGTGCTATGTTTGTGTATCAGGAACGTGGCCAGCTTTTTTACCATGTTCGTACCGTTTCCGAGTCACAAACATAGCACCAGTGGGGTCTGGTCAGGACCGGCAGGCATGTTCGACTGGACAACGTTCAAGTCTTTGAAGAGAGATGTGACGGTTGGATTGTCTTGATAAGAATCAGGCATCCTATATCAGGCACGGGCACTGAGACGCTTGACATTGGACATAGAGCTGTGGCACCTGCCTCTAAGTGCCAGAAACACAGGCTCATCTTTGCATTCGCTGCCGAGACCGCCGCATGCATGTGGCTGTCAGCACAAAGCTGCCACCGCTTTTCAGATTCGAGCACCCACTCACGCAAAAAAGGTCCTTGCAGATCAAATATTATTAAAGGTCCCCCAGTAGCCCTTTCACAGCCGATGCTGATCTTGCCACCTCCTCGGCATCTAGTACTGACAGCCATCTGCATGAGCTCTGCCGCCAACATCGTGCAGCAAACGTGCACTAAATAGTGCTACATTCGCTTGCTTTACAGCCGTGCACTACATAGTGCACTGCAGACAGCTATCTGCTACATCCACTAAACATCATGGGGCAAACGTTCCGTAAAGAGGCACAGCGGCTCCTTCACAGCTGCATCAGCTCTGCCGCCAAGATCGTGCAGCAAACGTGCACTAAATAGTGCTACATTCGCTCGCTTTACAGCCGTGCACTACATAGTGCACTGACGACAGCTATCCGCTACATCCACTAAACATCGTGGAGCAAACGTTCCGTAAAGAGGCACATCGGCTCCTTTACAGCCCCATTCGCTCGCTTTCACAAATCCACTGACCAGTTGATCATCCTAACGCCTCACCGCAGAGCGTAGCAACTGCGCTCACTGATCTCTAAGCAAGTTTGGGCTTCCACTGATTTGCTATGCTCGTTAATCTACAGTTTAGGCCCCATTTACGACCTTGAATGAATCAAAATAATAATGTATTCTGGATTACTCTCACGGAAACATCATTAGACCACAAGTACTTCCTGAAGTCGCGTAGCGTTAACTATACGCGATTTTAGGAAACGTACGGGCCACTACAGGAGCGCCCAAATTCATCCAACTAGCAACGTTTCTACTCTAATTTTTTCCGCGGCCGATAGCTGGGCCAAGTACTGGTGGTTAAGGTAGCGCGCCACACAGTCCTTCCAATTCCGCTCAGTACAGAAATCGAATAATCTCTTTATTCACACGTTTTCACCAACTGATTGAGTCAGTCCATCGTGATTTGACAGCGACCTTCACACAGGCTGGCAAGGACGGGGGCCATCTCGCGACCGTACTTCAAACGCCCACCCATCTTGCACCGATTCGGTTCGTATCCTGACGGAACCAGATGGATCCGAAGTACAAACATGCTAATCAGCACGTCATGACTTCGAATCCTGAGGGAATCAGATGGGATGCATTAAAGGTAACACGCTAACCCGATTTGAATTTAAAAAAAGAAGACACAAGAAAAGCAATCCGTCAACAACAAAGACGCCGTGAATCGTGGAATTCACGGTAGGCCGTATAACAATAAACAAACGACGACAAGGAAACCGTCTTGCATGAAGAAATTCAACAGCGTGGCCAAGTTAGTAAGAGGTACATCACATTCTCGAGTGGTATTTGAATTCAAAACACGTCCTTATCCTTTTCCCTTCTTTTCGCACATCATCATGATTTGAAAACTATAACAGTAGTTATAATGCACGTAACATTTACACTGCAAAATTGGTATTTGAATTCAGAACACACACTTCAGACCGCGTCGGCCTTTCACCAACCCAGTTGTGCAGAAGGCGTATCACGATCCAACGGTCATGAGGGTTGAACCGGCGGCACTCCATACTTGTATTTCTTTCGTTTTTGTTCTACCCGTCTTCCCCCGAATAGAACGTACGGTCATTACAGCCGTACTCGGTGCAACTTCCGGTCTAGATACAGCGATAACGACCGTACGATATATTATATATGCGGGTGACGAAGCTAGTACACACGGTCCCTCCCAACCGACCCCGTTTACTCTTCTGCACATCCAGCTGTGTACGATATAACGTCCCAAACACGAAATTGTGCTGCTGCTAGGTGGGAGTAAGTATCTCAAAACAATCCAATCCATCGCACAAACGAGTAGAGACCATTCATAATGTATTATGCCGAACGTTTCTTCGGGTAGAGCGCATTCAAACGAGTAGAGCACGTTCATTTACAGCGTTTCGGGACATTGTCAAGATTGGAACGATACAGAGAAGATTGATTAGCATGGGCCCTGCGAGGATGAGAAGCATGAGGAGGGGGGAAGAAATAAATTCGCAGCATACCAAAAGCACGTGCGTCAGGCCTAGATTAGACTTCCAGTCCTTCTTCAAAGTGTTCACGCAGATTTCGCCGTTCTTCGCGATATTCGGATGGAATATTCTTGTCAAGAAGTAACCTGTATACATAGAATAGAGAGAGTCGCCATCGCCAATGAATGCTTAGCCCATCATCATTTACGAAAACGACGAATGAGCATTTATCTAACAATCCCCACACATTTCCGCATCTTCGACCACCCCCATGTTGGCCAACGGAAAAACACAGCTGCACTCAAAAAACATCACAGGCGGGAAAAATAAATTCGACTTATGAGAAACCCAGCGAAAAACAGCTGCAAGTCAAAAGAAGGAAGCCGAACTGATATCAGCGGAATCCCAACAACCGCTAATGCACAAGGATGCGAGCAGCAGTATGACGCGACGGACAGAACCATCACCTCCAACCAACCAGACGAGGATCATCAGATGATTGTGTACGTCCTCTTCCCACTTGTTATAAAATCCACCCGACAGCAATTCCAGCCCGGGCCAAGCGACTACCGTACTGACTTCCGCCGAGACACAACGCACCCTCTTCAGCGTACACACGCAATTCATCCGGTCCGATACACTCGTGACGAGGGCCCGTCGGGTTCGGGGGAAGTAGCAGATAACGACAATTCGATTATATCACCAGCAGTGCTTGAGCAGCCCGATCGCTGTCAATCCACGCATCCCGAATGGAGACGCTTTTTTTTTTTTTACTGGGTTCCATAACCCTTCGGGACGCCACCCCCGCGGGCATATAATGAACCCCCGCAAAAATTGGCCAGGCGCAGCGGAGAAAGGACCGCGCGCGCGCTGACCACAGGTAAGTACAACCGAATGAGAGATGCTAAGGCCGCCTATTTCGTTTTCGCCAGAACTCTAGCGATTTCACACCGGTACAAGCCATTACACCTCGGGCTGGTTTTCCTTTCCTTTGTTGAAGGCCCAGATAGTTCGTACCCGCACTACCGGTAGGTCACGCTGTTCTCCTCCGATCATCCCAAGCAGGGCTGCGACAGAAAGAAGCCCACGCGCCATCCGTGTCTGGATTGACGACTGAAAACCGATTGCAGCTGACATCTCTTCAGCATTTCTCGTTCAATGCTTGCACAAAAGCCGCCCCTCGAACTCTGAGAATTAAACTCTGTAGTTCAATGACAGTTCAAAGGCTGCCCATCCTCCTTGGAACTCCGTAGCTAAAGACGTCGCAACGTCAGAACAGACTTAGGAACGAGCAGCAAAAGCTCCACCTCGCAATGAATACCCCTCATCACCCTGGATGACTCTTAGGGGCCACACCTCGTAAGCACCATCGTTGACGAAAACACCCTCCAGACTGCATTCGTCGTATCGGCCCGGCCTCGGTAGGGTCTGAAACCCGCTAGACAGATCGACGGAAAGGTATCTCTCCTCAATCAATTCAAGGCAACAAACTCAATTGATGGGCAGCGGACGACTTAACAGATTTCTCATCCTTCCGCTGACAGCCATTCGACCAAACACTCCCCTTCCTTGGCCCCCTCACATTCAGGCTCTCACTTGCTGCCCCCCTTTCAGACACCCCCCCCCTTAGACGTTCAGTATACGAACCAATGCAGACAGGACTAATCGCGACTGACTCTATGATTCCAATTGGTCGGGGTCAAAGAGAATTAATAACTGGAGATCGCCGAACTGTAGGCATTAATAGTGTTTCCATGCATGAGCTAGTAGATCAGAACAGAACGGACAAGTTGATCGATGCCACCTCCAAGACATTTCCAAAATGATTCGGAGGCTCCGCCATTCCGCTACCGGTAGTACTTAACCGTGGTCTGACCACCTGCCAAAAGCAAGCATTACCTTTGGGGGGAGATGTCGGGAAGTCGTGCGGAAGCACCAACTTCATCTTGAATAAGCCACCCTCGTAGGGAGTTCCCGCTGAAGAACACGTAGATCAAGGATCCACAACCAAAACGAAGAGAAAAGGCACACAACAGACGATGAAACCCAACTATTCAATAACAACGAACGATCGGTGCATCGAGAGATGGCACCCGCTATGCAGGAACCGAAATCCATTGCGAACAGGGAACAAACTATAAGCGCAGAGAAACACAGCCCTCTTTAGACCGAGAACCGTCAAATAAACAACGCTCTCGCTTCCTCTTCAACAGAAGTTCACTTCCAAGAAGACAAACCCAAGTAAAAACAGAGATTCATAATGCCCTACCTAGTGCAGCACCACATCTCACCATCAACCCCTTCCATCTTCATCCCACAAGTCGCAGTCCACGACAGAGTTCGAAGCCCGAATCATACACCAACTAGAGCAAACCCCAAGGAGAAAACCTCACGCACTATTATTGACAGTGCTTTCTTTTGCTGCGATGCACAGACAAGTGTCAACTGAAATCGAAAAAAGAAACAAGCGCGCTCTGTCGCGAACGGCGAATGGCGTGGCATTGGTTACTTTTGCACAAAGAAATTGGCCATGAAGAGATTGAGGAGAGGAGAAACGCCCCATCACTCACGGCCTATGAAGAACAGACGAAGCTTGCTTCTCGCTTGAGCCAAGAGGCACACGTTCCGACTGCCAGAACAGCAAGAGGGTAAATTTCCAGGCTGGTCAGCATTTCCCGCGAAGGCCAGTGCGGGTGTGCCTTACCGTACAGAATAGAGAACAAGGGAGTGTGCTGATGAACAGCGGTACTTGCTGATGTGAGAAGACACGTATGCCCACAAGGGAAGTTACATCCAACAGCCGGTGAGTCGGCCTCTTTTCTCAGCTGCACGAGTTTTCACCGCAGCAAGGGAACACATACAGAGGCCAGCACTTCAACCGAGGAAAGCGGCGCCTCCACGTCTTTTACGATTTGAAAATACATATTTCAATTCTTACATATTGCTCTTCGCGCACACAAATCGCTCTCTCGTGACATCAACTTCCCTCCTCACTTTTTCTGCCACGCGAGCGCCGGATCGTGACGCCCAGCCACAGTTTCTTCCAGGCTGAGGGTATACCGCCGCTGCTATATACGAAAAAAACAGAGAGCAGACATACAATTGCATTGATAAACGACGCATCGCACAGGGGAAAGAGGCCCAACGACCGGGCGCGCGTAAATCATGCCTTTAGCACAACGGGCACGAATACACCTTACGTACGAATACTCCGACGTGCTTCCGCCCAGGAAAGCATGACCAGATTCGTAGTCCGATCAAGCAAGGGGGAGCAGAACATGGAATTGTTAGAACGGCCAGCCAACGGAAACCACACCGTAGAGCCGCGTAGTACAAACTGAATGGACATTTTTCACAGAATGCAGGAAGGAGGACGGACAAAAATATGCAGTCTACAGAAGAGTCCGCTCTTTTCTCGCTATTTTTGGACGCTAAAGGCAAGAAAGAAAGAATTCCATACCCGGGCCATCGATTTCCGCATGGATGTTGGCGAAGTTGTCATCGTTGAGGTAGACTCGGATGCCCTCCGGCGGAGACTCGTCCAACGTGCGAAGCTCCCGCGCCAGTTCCTTGATTACCTTCGGCGTTAAGTTCTCATTCGCTGCCTGCTGCCCTCCAGCACCGTTTCATTCCACAGTTGCATAACGACCATCCATCCATGTAGAGCAAAGAACACTTCGTCATCCACATAAACCACACAAGCTTTTAATGCAAGTCCATCGACCAAAGCATAATAACCCAAGACCACCACTCCATCTTGAAACACGGGCCCGAAAATTCTTTCAACGATATACGAAAACAGTTCACGTTTGCGCTCTAAACAACTTACAATTTTTCGACCCGCCACCCACCATCAGAAAAATGAAGTGTGTCCATTTCGGGCATATGTATGAACATATACATAAATATATCGTCAATAAATACAATATAAATCGGTACATACGCAGATATATATGTAGGCAACATATAAACATCTATATCGTCACAGAGTATCGGAGCGCAAAGGCGAAAAAAAAAAACAGAAAAGGAAAGGAAGGAAGGAAAGCTCCGCCTGTTCATCACCGCTTACGTACAAGACCGGCCACGTGGATGATGGTTAAGCACCGGCTGCCCCCATCCCCGTGTATCACAAGGACCCACTTGCACGCAGCCAAAAGATAAAGAGGTAAAGAAAAGGAGGAAACCAAACCTCACTTGTAGGACAGATAAAGCTTTCGACACTACCAACAGATACGGAGTTACACAACAATCCAAATATAATCAAAAGTAAAAGAAACGGAACCACAACAGAGGGCCCGGAATATATAGATGCCATTCCACATCAGAGAGAAATGGCCGACAAAAGATAAAATAAAAAATAAAAAAATAAAACAAAAGAACGTAGGTAAAATCTGCCAAAAGGAAGAGGATGCGCCTGCCAGTACAGGCCCGACGCTAGCCGCATCATCTGCAAGAGCAGAGAGCTAGCAACGTCGGAGAATACATCGTCACACAGTGTATCGGAGCGCAAAGGCGAAAAAAAACAAAACGAAAAGGAAAGAAGTATATATCATCAAACAGAGGTGCCCGGTAAACCGTAGGCAGAGAGGGAGAAGAGGACAACAAACGAGGGGCTGTGACAAACTGTTTCGTCGGAGTTTCACTGACTCGTCAGGAGGCTGAACCCTCAACAGTCTGCAGAATCCCCTAACTGATTACACTAAGTGATAATCCACCTTAACCCCGGTTGTGGTTAAGCTTGAACGACTGCCCGACAACTGGTACCCTGAGGTGGGCACCAACCACTGCCCTCAAGGTACCTGTGACGAAAATCAAAGCAGACTATCACTCACCCACACGAGATGGAAAACTCTACAGAATGTCGGTTCACAGACCATCACAAGCCAGCAAAACACCCACGAAACAAAGAAAGGTCTGTCACAGGCAAGAAATACACTCCAGACACGCCACTGCCACTAGAGCCACATCATGGCCGCGTAGTGACGGCCCCGACCWCTGCCGCTCGACCTGACCGGAGAAAACCGTAGCAGGGTGCTAGCGAAGTCGTGGTATATATCGTCAAACAGCTGCCCGGTAAACCGTACGTAGGCAGAGAGCGAGAAGAGGACAACAACGAGGGGCTGTGCCAAGCAGTTTCGTCAAAGTTATATGTGTGTCTACATATTCTTGTGACAATATATATACATAATATCTCTTCCTGATGAGTCGGCGTCACGGCCCCTCGTTTGTTGTCCCCCCTGTCTGCCTGCGGTCCACCGGGCAGTTCTCTATGCCGTCGTATCGTGTATACATATGTCACTGATTGCGACGCGCGTCGCCCTCATGTATCCACCAGCTGCCGCTGGCGACATTCGATTCGCAGTATGTGTACTCTGTCACATACTTAGTGCAGTGTGAAAAGGACTTATTTCGCGACACAGCGTAATGTCGGTGGCGATCAGTGACGGGTCTCGAGCGGGAGAACACTCGGAATTCCAAAAAGGGGAGGACTCACAGCGTTTTACTGTAAAAAAATTCGGTGGATGGACGAACAGGAAAAATGTGAGTCGGTGCGACTAGGGTTTGGTTGTGTCCGCAGTAGGCACGCGGTTTAAGGACACTCCCGCACTTTATTGCGAAGAAGCGAATGGGAGTGAGCCATCACGCATCCTCAATCATGACATCCTCTGGACAGTGCAGGTTCTCTCTACCTAAATGAGGGGCGGGGGGAGCATTTTTGAGTGGATCGACGAAGAGGAAAAATGTGAGACGGTGCGATTAGGGTTTGGTTGTATCTGCAGTAGGCACGCGGTTTACGACATTCCGGCACTTCATTGTGAAGAAGTGAATGGGACCGAGTCATCACGCATCATCAATCATGACATCCTCCGGACAGTGCAAGTCCTCTCTACCTGAACGAGAGGGAAACCTCATTTTCGCTATGACAGCTGTTCGATACTGGAGCGCAAGCCCAAATGCATATCTCCAGCGTTGAGGCCCATGATACAATCAATCCCGTTGAATCTCAGCCCGTGCCAATTCCAAATTTCATATTCTACTTCAGGACTTCAGAAAGAACCAAAAGAACCTCCTTCTGAGGTACCCAGAAAAAGATGAGAAGGGGGGGGGGGGGGAGGAACGCATCTGCGCCACAGATGACTACCAAAACCACAGCAATTCTCAACTGCTGCTCCGACGTCTCTTCCTCAAACAAAAGGACTCTGGAAACAATGAGGTTTATGGCCTTCAAACGTGGGATGAGCTAAATTTCGGCACCGAGCAATCTGCCCAAAGAAGCCAAACTGATGCATAACAGACCGAGAGAAAGCGGGAGAGGCAAAGCGCCTCGCCGTGCGCATCCTCGCAAGCGGAAGAGCACCAACATCAGACAAGGCCAGACAAGCACGCCCGCTGGCGGAAATAGGGTTAGACTGGACGCAGATCGAGGAAAAGACACACATCATCATCATCATCATCATCATCATCACCACCACCACCACCATGATCATCATCAGTACAGGAAATGATACCTACCATTTTCGGGGAAACGAAAAACAAGCCTGACGCTTCCGCGCTAGAGCTGGCGACTTCACCACCACAACTCGGAACTCTCCAACCGACTCTCCCGTCTCCTGAATCGCAAGGGCCCGCGCTTCCGCACCTGAAATTCCACTTCACGTCCTATTTACACTCAAGCGATCGCCGCCGAAGCCCACATCCGTACCTCTGCAGCGAAAGAGGAGCTCCGCCAATGCGCACCTAACTCCTCGCACCCCCAGCAGGAGGATGCGATGTAGCTGGCAAAGTCATCGATTTACAAGGACAGCACTGTGATTGTGGATCTACCATTACTATGATCGCACCGTTTAAAACTTGCGAAGTTTCCTTAGCGATACTTCTAGCTGCCAGAGGGTCCGACGTTGTCGGTAGTTAACCATGCCCACCCCCACTCTACTTGCGCTTCGAGTAGTGAATTGAATGCACGCAAGTCTCGGGACGCAGAGCTTGGCACTGCCTCTGATCAAACGCAAATGTTTCCTTCAGCGTTACCAACAAACTGCTAGAAAGTCGGCCTCGTAAATCATGACAGAGAGGAGGAGGAGGAGGACAATGACTTGCGCTGGCGAGAACAGACGAGGCCGGCGACGCGCGACGAGTCATCAGCACTTGAAAACCAGGTCGTATAAAACAGCAAGCAGCTAACCGGAAAGACAAGCGAATTGAACAAGCAGACAACAAGGATATATATAGGAGAATGATACTCATAGATGGTGAAACCAAAATTATGCAAAAGATCGAGAATGAGGAGAGATGAAGGTAGGTAAGACGTTCGAGGTTTGGCCGAAGGAGTAACGACAGGATCTGAGAGGGAGGAAAAGAGAAGCAGATGATGGCAGCGCCGGCAGCAACAAGAGAATCAGAGAGTGAACAATAATGTGGTTTAGGTGACACCACTATCCGATTCAGTGCTTAAGAACCTCTCCCCGCTATTCGCCTACGACGAAGTTCCATTACACACACAATTTGAGAAACCCAGGCACCCACCTACAATCCACCGATGGAGAGGCCCATAGATCTACCTACATGCCATCTACAAACGCCACCGGGTAAGAAGGGGAAGGTGGACACGACCACCCCGGGCGTCCCCGCTCTCTCTCTCTCTCTCTCTCACACACACACACACACACACACACACACACGCACACACACACAGAGACACACACACGCGCGTGCGCGCGCGTGCGCGCGCACGCCCGCACGCACGAACGGAGTGTTGATCAGTTATCAGCTGTGCAAACCTGACCGCAGGTGGCTATACGATTGTAGTACAAACACTCCTGGATGATCAGTTGTTACCCCGCGAGGCCGTGCCTAAACTGAAGCGGACGTGCAGAGGTGACGAGGGGCAAGAGACCACAGAGGAGAAGGAGCGCGCGGGCCAACGTTTCGGCCGTTCACTGCCGCAACTAACTTGTCTTTGAAAAAAAGGAGCGAGGAGAGAGAGAGAGAGAGAGAGAGAGAGAGAGAGAGAGAGAGAGAGAGAGAGAAAGGGTGAGGGAGAGGGAGAGGGCGAGAGACGGGAGTACAAACAAACGTCTCTGCTGTCGTGCAGAACGGCAGGCTGATATGAAAAAACACGCAGAGGAAATTTGAATTCGCCGGGGACGTCCGGTAGCCAGCCAGCGCAGCAGCGCCGACGACGGCCAGATACCCCCTTTCACCCAATCCCCTCTCCCCCCCGTTCCCCCTCACCCCCTCCCCTCTCCGCCCCCTCCCCTGCGATCTATAAGTTCCCGCCCTCTGTGCACCCGCCTCGCCTTCGGCTCCTGTGTGGTTCCGCGTCCCCGTCCTTTCTGCGCGTCCTGCGGGCAGTCCTGGTCCTGCCCGCGGGCTTTGGATCGACCCTGAATTTTCCACAAATCTCCCCGCACCTCCTCTAAGGGCATACACTAGGACTTTTTTGTCTCAGCTCTGGACGTGATTGCTGTCAGATGCGTCCAGGTTCTGCCGTAATTGCGGTTAGATACATTTGGAAAAATGCTCGTGTGAGTATGCCCTACCTTCCTTGTGCGACGTCCTCAAGGCTATCCTGGTCCAGCGCGCGGGCCGTCGTCTGGTCCGAACCGCCTGGCTTTCAGCCGCCGCCGCGCTGCGCAGGGCTTCCCTTACCGCCTGCAAAGCTGGTCCAGAGGAACGGCGACAAGTAAACAGGCGGGCCCCACTGGCTAGGAAATCATGAACACACCCAGACGTACGGCTATGTTCGTTCATGGTTTCCAAGCTTGAACCTAGCGCCCGGTAGGGCCTGACCCTAAGCTTTCCCTCCAGAACGACTCCAGCTAGGAAACGAAGGCAGCCTGCCACGAGCGCCGCGAGGCAGCAAAGAGGGCCCATCGTACCAACTGGCCTAGCTCAGTCGCTACACCAGTGAACTGTTCAAATATTGACTTACCGTGAGGGGACGGGTGCGCAGCCCGTAGTTTCTGTTGATGTTGTTTGTCGTGTTCGCTATACACTGTGTGAGTGTGGTACTCCAAAGAGTGTGCCTGTATGTGTGGTACTCCAAGAGTGTGTGTGTGTGTGTGTGTGGTACTCCAGGAGTGTGTGTGTGTGTGTGGTACTCCAAGAGTGTGTGTGTGTGTGTGTGTGTGTCTCCAAAAGTGTGTGTGTGTGTGTGTGCCTGTGTACTCGCGTGTGTGTGTATGTGAGAGTGTGTGCACATGCCTTTGGTTTGATTGATGAAAAAAGAAAGGAGCAAAGCAATGAGTTTTTTTTCAATTTTAAAAAAATCAAATTTGTGTTTGACTCATCTGCATGGGAGTGTTTTACAATGTTCACGCGCGTGCCTGCGCGCACGCGCGCGAAAGAGAGAGAGAGAGAGAGAGAGGGAGAGAGAGAGAGAGAGAGAGAGAGAGAGAGAGAGAGAGAGAGAGAGAGAGAGAGAGAGAGAGGGAGGGAGGGAGGCCCATTCTAATTGAAACATGAGCACGCACGCAGGCGCGTGCGTGTGTGTGTGTGTGTGTGTGTGTGTGTGTGTCAATCATATCCCATGGCAAATCATGCCATGCACCCCATACTAATTATGGTACACTCCAGCCCGCTCGTAACTAAACTAACGATAAATGTTTGCCACTTGTTACTTATGAAGCTTTCTAAAACATACGTAGCTTGTTGCATCCATTCCTTACAGCCCCAAGCACATGCAAAATCGATCAGGAGTTCAATTGCCAATCAATACTTCCGGTGCGGAAATCAATGCAATCCAGCGAGCATCCAGATGCATCCATAGGTAGTACACCAGCAGCTAATAACAAAAGTACATCAATGTTTGAGGCACATATTATTAGTAGGCAATGTATAAAGAAGAGAGGGGAGGGAAACTTCTAGAAAGTTTATCCGAAAAGAACCATGCATCTATAATCTACGTTAATTGAGATGGGGGCAAAAACTTTAATAGATGGGTGAAACGGAGGAGATAAGAGGATAAAAATCAGGTTGGCTCATATATATGCGAGACAAACCGAGATTGTTGCCAGAAGGAAATCAAGATTTAAATGACGGATCATTTACGAAGAATTAATTCCTTTGAAGTACGCAGTAATCGAAAGAATCCAGAACCAGACCAAAATAATAATCCAAGCCGCGTCTCAAATCCCTTCCCTTTCTTGCTTCAAAAGTCCCGGAGCATATCCTTGTACAATTTCTTCGTTACTCTTCATCCAAGCACTTACATCCCTCTCCATTTCTATATAACTCAACAATAGGTCATATATCCTCCGCATCCCGCTCCTATGATTACTTCCCCATTAAATGATACTTATCCCTCCTCCTCTCTACTTCTTTTTTTAATAGTTCCCTTTCCTAAACTCCCCCCAATCACCATCGAACAAAAACCAAAAAATTGTTAATCGGCAAGGTCCCGTATGGTGGTAACTAGGTAGCATGGCGAAGGGTGACTCGGTGGCTCAAGATAGATACATGCGCTGGCAGGACGGGTGTGGCGTCCCCAAAGAGTTTTTTTGTCATCGCCACAGATCTGGATCGTCAGAGACTTTAACATACAAACAGCCATGGCCCACATGCAAGTCTAGAGTGGAACGAGGATGGTATACCGCTTTCTCTGCCACTTGTGCTTCTCCTTCAGCATTTGGTGTGAGCGATAAGTCCTCATCAACTCCAGTGGAAAAGTCTCAGTCCACCGTAATCACCCATACCTCTTCCGAATCACTTATTATCGCTAGCAGTTTGAAATAACATTGCTCAACCAATTCGCAATTCACTCGCATACTCAAATAGGCAACTGCGAAATAGATATATACAGGTAGGGAGGGATCATGAATGGTATCAGGGGTGAATGAATTGTTTTCGTTATCAATTGGGATTGCTTGTTGACGTTTACCCGCTCGATGTTACCAAAGGCTGGCCGCCTGTTTTTCTTAGTCTAGCTCGTTAATAATATATTTATCCAGATAATGTTGAACTGGCGGTATCCCATACCTACCTTAGTTGTTGTTCGTGGTTTATTCGCATTTTTCATAGTTTTGCGGATTTTCGTCACGTTTGGCACGTAGGATTGTTGCATTGTTTTTTTGTCTTGTGGTCCGGGTTCGAGACTTAGTTCCCCCCTTTTTTTAACAGATCCCCAAAAGGTGCAGCAGGTAGGTTCAGGTTCGGTATCAGGTTGCTTCCAGTTTCAAGTCGTGAGCGTTCTTGGTTTATCCCAATAACCCGGTCTCGATCTTGTCCCGTGGTTTCTTTTCAATGGCCTCAATGTTAGGGTCTTGTCTTGTATCGTGTCTGTTGGTGCAGTGGGTGAGTATGGGGTTCGATGCCCAGATCAAGTACAGGATCGAGGCTCGCCTTTGGATGATTTCGTTACACATACCTTTAAGATATCTTTTTCTGTATGAGTTTTTGTGACACAACTGATATGGGGTACCTGACTTCTGCCTCCTTCGTTACTTGTTCATGCAACCTTTTTCTCGTGAATATTTGCATAAATTGCTTGCGTGTTTGTGTGTGTATGTCCCTCCCTCGTCTCTCCAAATAAAAGTTGCTTGGAACAGGTATCCAAGAGGGTACCTGTCCGAGACAGGTCCCTCTTCGGATACCAATTCATAGCACATACCCCACATACACACATATATGCATATCAACGATCAGCGTAGATATTTGTGGGTTCTTAATTCATCCTATACATGTTCAACTGGGCACCTGGTGGGTTAAAACTTATGTGGCTCCTTCAAGACATTTCTCACGATCCCCCAACACCGTCACGAGTTGAAGTCGTTGTCAACCATTCTTTGCACAACCTTTTGATTTTATTAACCGCATATCTTAGTTCAAAGCAAAGAATATAGATCATAATTACTTGTATAATTACAATCGCGATAAATTGTTTAATCCGTCGGTTAGAGTTGAATTTAATATATCTGTGCGCTTCCAATTTCGTTTCTTCGGTTTTATCATATTTGTAAATGCGGAATTCGCCTTCCTTGGATGTTACATCCAATATGAGATTAAGGAATGTACTATTGTTGGTGTGTTCAGAAAGTTCATTGCTTTGTTTCTTGATCATAATGAATTTCGTTGGGTAAAGCTATATTTGGTCATGGTTATCCTACATATGATTTGGACTAAAAAAGTCCCCGATGATCCCATTGTCCAGTGCATTTAAGTCATCCATATACCTGAATGTGTGTTGGAAGGAGGGTATCAGATGTCGATTACCTTATTCCAAAAGGCGCATCATACAGTTGAATTCATATTTGAACAAGAAACAGTTGCACAAAATAGGGGAGTACGAGAGACCCATAGAGATTTCATTTTTCTGCCTCCATACCCTTCCCCCAAACTGTATGAAGTTTGTATTGGCTAGCCATCTGTTCATTTCAATCAGCTAGTTTTGGTTGATTGTACATTAATTCTCTGAGTCCTGAATTTCGTCAGTCTATTTTGCCTTGTATTTCTCGGTATTCATTTTTTTTTATCTTTATATATTCATGTCGATTATTTTTTTTCTTATTCTGAAACTTTTTTTTTTATTGTAAATGCAAGAGCGGTTATCAGCCCATGCTCAGAGCCCTCCGTGGGGATGGTTTTAAAGCAGCGACCGATGTCTGTCGAGAAAATCGAGTGCACTTTCTGCGGGATATTCAGACAATAGTCGTTTACGGAATCCACATGTCACCGAAGATTAACATTTACGTTGTGGAGGTTCCTAACACATTTAATATTTTTTATATGTAAAAAATCGATTGAAATTTGATCCGACTTCAACTTTAATAGACTTTGTTTATAAAAAAAAAAGTTATGTTCGCTTCGCGTTTGGTCGTTACTTTTATTTCGCTTTTTTGCAATCTTTATTATCTAGTCGAGAAAAAACTCATACAGTGATTAGGTCGTTGAAAGTAGCTTCTGTTTATCAAAGTGTTTTT